GTGGAGTGGAGTGGAGTGGAGCGGCCCGTCCCGGCCTCGCCTCGGGGGCCCGGCCAGGCAGCGGTTCGGCAGGCGGCCCCTCTCCCTCGCATTGCCCCTCGGGGCGCTGCGGCGGCACATCCTCCCCGCTTAGCCGGGCAGGAATCAGTATCCGGGTTGGCCGGAGCGAAGGGCCTCCGCGGGGACGGGAGGAGCTCCGCCCGAAATGGGGTCGTTGCGCTTCCTGTGCCTGGAGTCCCTGGGGCGAGGCGGGCACCTGTTCGGTCGCTCCAATGAGTAACTGCGTGCACCGTCAGTCCAGGTGTTCTTGGCTTTTGCAGGGGAAAAGTGGCTTGACTGAAGCCCCCCGCCTCCGTGGCGCCAAGATTTGACCCCAGGACTTTCTCCATCATTGGTGAGTCCTGCAGCCTCCCTTCCTCAAAAATAACCATTTAATGGCAGGATTTTAAAGCCTTTCTTTAATCTGATCGCAAATTATTTGTTCTGCCTCCATATCCTGTAGGAAAAAAAAATCTGTAAAGTTTTGGTACTAAATATCAGCTGCATTTCCTCATGGGCAAATGTCCTGAAATGTTTAAATTATAATTTAACTGGAAGATATTTCCTCTCTGCCTTTAAAGGAATGGAGTTGGCAATGGAGCCAATGAGAGACCAGGAATTTGCTGGCACCAAACTGGAAAGGGGACTGGAAGGAGCAGGAAAATCCAGAAGCGTGATTGACCCTGAATATATGACAGGCCAGTCAGGATGGGGAGCACCGTGGAAGGGAGAGGGTAATCCAAGGAAAGGGAGGCAGGAGCACTGGAAAACCCAATGGCAACACTTCCTGGAATCCCAAGGGACAAATCTAATGATGTCAGAGGCTTCTCCTTGGGAAGACACAAAGGCCTTTCTAACCTCCTTTGAGCAAGTGGCTGAAGCCTGCCGATGGCCTCGTGGAGAGTGGGTGGCTTGTCTTTTGCCAGCGCTGAGTGGAGAAACTGAAGAGGCCTTTCACAGCCTGGAAGCCAAAGATCAAAAAGACTATGGGAAGGTGAAGGCCGCCATCTTGCGAGGGGAAGCCCTGAAAACAGAGATGCAACGCCAGCATTTTAGGCAGTTCTGCTGCCAGGAGGTGGAAGACCCCCGGAGGATCCACAGCCAGCTCCAGGAGCTTTGCCACCAGTGGCTGAAGCCAGAGAAGCACACCAAGGAGCAGATCCTGGAGCTGCTGGTCCTGGAGCAATTCCAGGCCAGCCTTCCATCAGGGCTTCAGCACTGGATCCAAGCCCGAAGGCCAGACACGTGTTCCCAGGCTGTGGCTCTCCTGGAGGATTTCCTGATGAATCAACAGGACAGGACTGAGAACTCCCCTGTAAGTATGAATTTTAATTTTGTTAGCGTCCAACAGGTTGTATAATATTAGAAATGAATTACAGGAACCATCTTCATCTGCTTAGTTGAAAATGAATTACATTGATAACAAATCACAAAGACTGAAATCCTCTAGATCGGTTTAAAATTATAGTTCATTCCAGATTAAAATATATGAGCAATATTCTTATTTGCATAACAGTAGTAGGTTGTAGTATTTGTAATCTGATAAAGATTTGGTCTGATAGCAGTTCATGTGAGACATATTCCATACGTTTCATTACTTCATGAGAGAAAAGCAGGGATTATACTTCTTTTCCAAAGTGGCCCCAAAAGATCAGTTTTCAGCTTACGATTCTTGTTAACGTTCATTTTGAAATCAAAGATCTTTAATATTCTTTTCTGTAACAATTTTCAGGATGACAGACGCTTTACAAGAGTTTCTTGACTTAATATAAGAAGTTCTGTGTAATGCAGCTTAAGGTTGCCAGTTTTAATTTTGAACACAAAGTGCTTCCTTTTGGAGAAGAATGGTGGGCACAAATTCTCATGTGTACCTCCGCAGTTGTTGGCTGGTATCATACAACATGCAGAAGCAGAAGCTCTGATTTCCAAAGGGACTGAATTTTCACAATAAGTACAGCCAAAGGCAGGCATCCACATTTTGGGTTGGTGCAGTGCATTAACACATTCAAGGTGTGCTGATGCTGTGGTAGTGAGAGTGCCACAACTTAGGAAGCGTGACATAGCGCGTGGGCAGTTAGTTTGTTTTACAGGCTTAAAGGCTGCTCTAGTCACAAACCAACTCTTGAGCGGTATACCACTCCCTCTCCATAATTCAGTTTAAAACAAAAATCCAATAGACTGTATAAATCCATTAAACCATCTAGATAAGAAGCCAGATATATACAGGTAGACCTTACTGAATGACTGCCCTGTTTAGCGACCATTTGAAGTTATGATGGTGCTGAAAAAGTAACTTTACAACCAATCCTCACATTTACAACTGTCACAGCATCCCCACAGTCACATGAGGGACATTTGGGTATTTATGACTGTCTCAGCGTCTTGCAGTAATGTGATCACCTTTCATGCGCTTCACAAAGAGCTTCCGACAAGCAGAGTCAATGGATTTTTTTTAGTTTTTAAGATATTTTATTGGACAAGCAGAGTCAATGGAGAAGCTGGCAGGAAGTTGCAAGTGGTGGTCACATGATGTCTCACTTCACAACTTGCAGTGACTTGCTTAATGACCGAACGGGAAGTGATGTTAGAAATCTGTCGCAGTCACATGGTGTTTCACTTAGTGACTATGTTGGTTAACGATGGAGTTGCCAGTCTCATTTTGGTCACTAAGCAAGGACCATCAACCCAATTCAAACAATTTCCACTGCAACTGAGACAATTGTATTATTTCAGTTCTGTGCTTTGTTAGGATAACAAAGTCTTTATAAATTTTCTGAATACCAAAAGGCTGTTCAAGTGTCTGGGAGATGATATTTAGTTATTTATGAATAGATTTATATCTCACCTTTATTTTGTGCAATTCAAGATGGCTCCTGTCTCCTCTGCAATGACAACCCTGTGTGGAGGATTGGGCTGATATCGGGACTAGCCCGAAGTCACCCAGCCAGCTTTCATGCCTAAAACTCACCTCCTGGTTTCTAGTCCAGCACTTTCACCACTACACCAAACTGTCTGTCTCAGAAACCAGGGATCTTTTGCTTGTGAAAAGTTTCCCAAAAGGGAGGCAGTGGGAGAGAAGATGTGCCTTGTAATCCCTAAGTGAGAGAGCCTGTCCTACTTGATCGTATTGGACAGGCAGTTGTTACTGGGAGAAGACAAGTCAGCAGCTTAAATGATTTGAGAAGAACCGTGTGAGAATCTGGGAGCTGTTGGGCATCTCCCCTTTGGTCAGGGGGAAAAAATCCTTGATCTGAATTCCCAAGGGGATCCGTTGCAAGAGTAGGAAGCTCTTTTCCTGTAGCTGTATTCTGAGCAGGATTGTCCTTTCTCTTTCAGAAACCATTAAAGGAGGAGCCGATGGACTTTGTAGTTGCAGAGAAAAAGCCCTTGAATGCTGCCGAGAGACCAATTTGTGGAAAAACAGAGCAAAATGTGGAGATTGGCTTGCAGGGTGAGACTTCATGGAGCTCTTGTGTTTTCTACTGTTCTCCTGTTTGTGGGACGCTTGGCTGCCGACAGATGAAAAGTAGGACTGGCCAAGATGTCTTCGTGGCCGAGGCCACTTTGACAAATGGAGTTTGAAATGCAAAGGACCGGAAAAGCTGCACCCCCTGTACCAGGAACCAGGTGCCCGTTTGGCCTTTATTTATATCTGAGAAAAAAAATGCAAGAATTTAGCTATAGCCTAGAGCTTCACATGGTCAAACTGCTGTGTGTCTTTTTAAACTAACTAGTACAATCTTAAGGCGTTGTCAGTTTATTTATTACACTCCTTCAATCAAGTGCTTTGGCGAAAGGTTTAGAAACGATTAATACATTTTATTCTGTGTATAGCTGCTGTACGTTTTCTTAGTCAGAGCAAGGTTTGCTATAATATAGAGCAACATTTTCTTAGTGGAATATAATTTTATGAATTCATTTTTTGTTAGAGTTATATCCCACCTTTATTTTCACAACTCTAGATAGCGTACATAATCACCTGCCTCCTATTTCCTCCACTACAACAACCCTGTGAGATGGGTTGGGCTGAGAGAGAGGGGCCCAAAGTCATCCATTTGGCCTCCACATCTAAGGAAGAGCTAGAACCTATGGTTTCCCAGTTGCTAGCACCACCACTCCACCAAACTGGCCCTCCAGTTATAATAACATCAATCATTTAACAGTAGAAAGCAAACAGTACAAAATTCAAGATCTTCAAACATCAGTGATATTCTTGTAGTTTTAATTTAATAAATCTCATTTTATAACCTTTCATTCAGAATTTCATTGGCACTTACTTTGGCAAAATTCCTTTTAACGACAGTCATTTGGCAGTGAAACAAATAGAACTCAACAAATAAGACTGGTGAATGTAATAAAGGGCTAAAATCATAGGAGGTTTTTAGGGCATTTTTAATATATGTTTTTTAGTTATTTATAGATTGTATCCATGTTTGGAGAGACCTGTGTTTTTTCTTCTTTTTTATTA